AAAAAAAAAAAGTCTGCAATATACAAGTTTTATAGAGACATAGATATTCAGCATAGTGCAGAAACATGGGGAGGGATGATAAATGCCATATTTACAAGAAGGGTTACATCCAGGGAGGAGGGAAGGGAATGAGGAGATGGGAGGGAACAGTGGAGCATCAACTTGTTTCAGTGACAGCCAGCCAGCCCGTGGGATGGATGGGTAAGCAGACGGGCAGGCAGGCAAGTAGGTGGACGCACAGGTGGACATGACATAGCTTTAAGATCTCAGGACAGCTGGGTTGTGCTACCTGAGTGTGTTAGTTATTTTCTATACTTTACACATGTGAAGTATTTTATAACAAAAGGAATTTCCTTCCTGAGAAAGGAAACACATCTTTAAAAATGAAGTAGAGCATTAAGATAAATATACACCTCTAAAACTAAATGCTAAAGTCAAACGTATGTCATTTACATATCATATAAAACAATTTTTCAGAGCTAGGCACACAGCGCCAACTTACGGGATTGGCAGCCTCACATGCAGGAGACTCTCCACCCCGGGCAGGGGCCTCGCACGGGCAGCTTCAGCCAAGTCTGGAGCAAACATGGCATTAGCTAAGGTTTGGCTAGTATTACAGGTAAAACCCTACACTACATGCACGTACACACACCCGTGAACCCAGCAGCCCTGGCAGTACGTCATGGAGCCAACAGTGGAGAACTTACGATGCGGAGCACACTCGTGTGTGTGTAGAATCCTACCCCCAAAGAGGCTGACTCCGTCACTACTTGTGTTCTACTGTCTGACCTATTACCATTCTGCTGCCGTTAGACTCCATCACGCATTTACAAAAGACGAAGAGAAGTAGGACAGAGAGCAGCGAGGTGGTCCGGGGTTGTCAAGCTGGTAAATATTGAGTAAGAGATGCGTCCTGGCTTCCTCCTCCCCAGTTCACGGCCTAGTAACTGTGCTCCTGCTCTACCACTGTAGTCTTCGCAGTCTGTTGGAAAACTTCACCAATATTTCACTTCCAACATTATTTTTGAATGTTGAACATGAAAATCACTCTCAATCTATGAGTACAAAGAGATATACATACATCCACACACTACACGCTGGTGAACACCTCGCCCTGGTCTAAGAGTCTGAGAGAATTCCAGAAATATGTTTAAACACAGCTGCAAACGCACTCACTGCTCACCTGCCTGAGACCCGGCATTCTTACGTCATTATTTCACGGTCAGACGTGAATTTTTCAATAGCCCTAAGATCACACGAACAGGAAGCCTTCACACAACAATGCAGCAATTCTTTCAGGTGGCTTTAAGCAAAATGATGCTGAATGAAAGCAGTTCTTCAAATTATTCCATCGATGGCTGGGGCTGTTCTCTCTCCACTACTTTATAGTGAAAGGACATGTTAATGGTGTTATTTGAGGACCTGCTGTTATTGGAAATCCAGGAAAGCTCTATAGGGAAGCATAAGATGTAGCTCAATTACCTCCTTCCCTCACTGGAGGCAAAATTTGATTACTGAGCTTCAGGTCTGAAAACTCATAATTAAGAGTTTTTAATAAGTAATTCTGTTGAGAGATTTAAATCAATTTCAATTATTCATTTTTCTGGTCTGTTCATCATGAGTCGATTTATTTTTTAGAAGGCAGTAGCTAATATTTATACAACAAAAATGTCACCTTGTATAGGACAGTATGCCACAGATAAAGACTTTGCATTCTCAGCCATCAAACATCTATGAGCGTGTAAGTGCTGATCACCACATCCCCGGCCCCCAGTGACACCGTCCCTATTTTTCAAAAACTCAATCTACATGCCTACATTCTCAATGCGGTTACTTATGAATCTACATAATCTACCTTAGAAAATAAGAAAAGGAAATTCTTATTTTCAAAGAGTTCACTTTAGAGAGGACAAGTACATGAGTCACCTACAGTCGACAAGTACTTTGACAGTGCTGTATGGGAGGCATAAAGACACACAGGCCGGGGTGGGAGCTGCGCGGGTGGCTGGAAACCCAGTCGGGACATGCGGACATGCCAGGTAGAAACAGCTCTTCCAATCAACCGCGTCCTAAAGGAAGAGCCCGCCAGAGCCAGGCGCCCAGTCCCAGGGAGGGCTCCAGGGTGACAAAGACTTAGCTCCTCGCAATTACTTTCCTGGCCCATTCCTCTCCAAGGACTAAATCCTGGCTGCATGAGAGCGAGCGACTTTGCATTTCTGAGTCTCAAGTGAAGCAGATATCTAAGAATTCCAAGGTACAGATGGAATCCCAATAAAAGATATCTAAAGTTCTTTGTAGATCCAAAATTCTCTTCAGAGTCACAAGGTAGTAAGCCAAAAAGAAAAACCACCACCAATTAAGAAACGGACCAGTCTGTACAAATACATTTTATCATTCTGCAATTCCTATTCTGACCATCCATAAAATTCCCACAGCCTGTCTTTTCACCAGAGTTGGTAAAATGCGTCTTCCCCCGGAACCTGCGGACTTCTAAAGAATCTACGAGCAACCGTTTGGTGATAACAGAAGTAAATGGTGCACACATCCATAACTTAGACGTATAAAAGTCATCTCCTTCAAGGAAAACATTTCTAGAAATAAGTGTATGACATGAATATAACCTATTCATTCATCATTTTTGCTGCAAAGTTTTCATGTACAAGTTGAAGCTTCACGAAGTTTCTTAAAAACCCCAGCCACGCCTAGGTCTTCACAGTAACATGCTCTCTCCTCACTAGTGCACGTCGTGAAACTGAAAACAAGGGCTTCCTTACCTGATACGGACACGGAATGTGGTATTCTCGGCAGCGCTCTTGTATCCACGTGGTCTCCCAGACGCCACGGTAAGCTTGCTCATAGAAGTAGCATCCAATGACAACCAAGAGTGGCACGAGATAGAGAATGCTGAAAACACCGATTCGGATCATAAACTTCACCAACTTATCTTGGTTCTCCTTTTCTAATGGAATCTCAATGCGAACTCTGTTTAAGGATATAATGCCAGCTAAGAGCAGGGAAACCCCCACTACCACGTACAGGCAGAGGGGGGCGAGAACAAAGTATCTCAGTGCATCAACGTCGTAGAGGCCAACAAAACACACGCCACTGATATTGTCACCTTCAATTTTATTCATCGCTAAAAGGATGATAGTTAGCGTTCCGGGGATGCCCCACGCACTGGCATGGAAGAGCAATGCTTTCTTCTCGATGGCTTCACTACCCCACTTTGGCACAGCTGCCAAGAACCACGTGATGGTAAGAATCACCCACCAAACGCTGCCGGCCATAGTAAAAAAATAGAGCACCATAAAAAGCATGGTGCAGGCTTTATTGTGTGATCCTTGCGTCACGGTGGAAGCTTTGTACTGCGCGGGGCTGGACGCGTTGCAGGCCACTCGGTCCTCCAGCAGGAACCCAATGAAGAAGATTAAGGAGACCATCATGTAGCAGACTGCGTAAAATATAATGGGTCTTTCTGGATAACGGAACCTCGTGACGTCGATCAAAAAAGTTAAAAAGGTAAACAAGGTGGCAGAAAGGCAAATGATGGAAATCAGTCCTATGAAATAGCGAGCAAACGAAAGTTCTTCCCTCCTAAAGTACATATTCGGACAAGGAGGTGAACAGTCACGCACGCGCAGAAACGAGTAACCGAGGTCGGGGTCGATCTTCAGCTCTCGGGGACACCAAAAGCCGTAGTCCCTCTGCACCGCCGCGGGGGCGCCTTCCGTGGGGTCGCCGGCTAAATCCAGATCCACGAGTCTCGGGTACGGCTCATCACAATCCGGGAACCTACAAAACACAAGGCGAGGCCGGCTTTTACTCGGTGGCAACTCTACTGGCCGTGACCTGGTTTGCGCTAACTTCCCTGGAGCACAATTACGCTAAGGAGAGCAAACGGTGAGATCTTGTTCGGAGGCCACGCAGCTAGATTTCCACAGCCGAACAAAGCATGATATGGTTTGATGCCGAATTCTGTTTGGCTTCAAAAACAGTCGTCTTTTTAAAAATATTCGAGCATAGTCATCAATAGATAATAGGGATATGTAAGACTATCTATTCAAGACAGTTTAGAATACATATAATAAAGCAAATATATAAATGCGTACATCCAACAGAGTCAGAGCTCCACCTAACTTTTTCTACCCTTAAAATATAGTTCCCTATTTACCCTAGGCGCTAGCAGACCTCACGTATAGAGCTCAAAATAACTTGAATCCATGACCCAGGGTGTTGAGTGAGATGAGCATTAAAAATTCTTACAAGCGGCTTAATTTTCATATCTTTTCTTCTCACTTACATTCACTCTGCTTATCATACTGTTCCCTCCCCGCCCCTGCCCCCGGCCAAATTATGCTTACAGAAGTAAAGTTGGTTTACATCATTGTATCTGCTCCGGGAGTTACAGGTTTCAACCTCTACACATGTACATCTTCATGCCCACCACCAGCCCCAAAAGTCCCCGGGGCAGCTGCACCGGGCCCCTCCCCATCTCCGATGCTCCTCACCCCACCCCTCCCCCAGGTGGTGCCTCAGTTTTGCAGTCTGTTGTCCAGGGTTTGTGCTGGTTTGGGTTTGACTGATGCCGTGTTTTGTTTCTCTATACTCCACACAGCAGCTGCACCGGGCCCCTCCCCATCTCCGATGCTCCTCACCCCACCCCTCCCCCAGGTGGTGCCTTGGTTTTGCAGTCTGTTGTCCAGGGTTTGTGCTGGTTTGGGTTTGACTGATGCCGTGTTTTGTTTCTCTATACTCCACACATTAGGATTTAAAGGCCTCCTATGGTCTCTGATGTCGCCTAGCTCTTCCATGCTGTCCCTAATTTCTAGCCAGTCCATTGCATTCCCTAATCCACTTATGCTCAGGCTTTAGTGTGCATAAGCAAAAATCAAGACTATTTGAAGAATGCAAAGTCTTGGTCCCTACCCCTGCCAGTCCCTGTGTTAGGACCCAGAAATCTTTATCTTAGCTGTTTCCAGAGGGACGTGACCCACAGAACTGAGAGAGAGAGTTAGACCTCCGGGACAAAGAAAACGGGGCACTTTGAAGACATACTCGCATGACCAAGGGCACCCTTTCAAGAACTTCCTGTGTCTCTTTGGAACTGTGTCAGTTCCTAAGCCTGAGACTCCACTGTTTGCTCACTTAAACACATCAAGTAGTTCCCAAGAACTATCACTGACACTAATCTTGCCAAACACACACATGACCTCAAGCCGCATCTGATTAATCTTTTATTTTCCAACAATGCATTTTCTTTAAAGGGCTTGGAATTATAAGGCCAAATGACACAAACATATTATGATCAAGGATTTATGGGAATCTTCATTATATAAGGTTTAAACAAAAATAAAAAAAAAAAAAAGCAAAACCAAAAACGGGATCTCTTGAGTCTAAAAAGAGAAACAAACTTATAAACACAAAATTCTGTAGTGTGATACCAAGACTACCAAAATTCATGAGCGTGGATAGTTATTTCAGGGGAAGAGGCTATGAAAGATTTTATAGCATAAGCCCCTCCACATTACATGGGATTCTGAGTCGGAACTTGTCAGTACTGGCCCTACGTCAATCGTTATTTTAGCAAGAAACGCGAACCGAGGCACAGAGGCGTGAACCGGTGAGTGTGGGATCGCCCTCACCTGGCCCTGACTTCCTTCTCAGCGCTCATTTCCGACGGCGTCTATTTTAATCTCCACTACAGCCGTCACTAGAACCTCAGCTCTGTAAGAACAGACTCGTTTCATTCACTGTTCACTGTCAGCACCTAGAATGGTGCCTCACACATAGGACACGTGCAATTACATTTGCTGAATTAATGACTGTTGAATAAATATATTCATGTAGCCCTAACCCAGGGAGTTAGAAAGATGACAAATGTGGAAGACAGTCTGGAATGGGTCAGAGGTGGACGTGGGATTTATGGCCAGTGAAGGAGCAATAGCTGACGACTTCCAGCAGCGGGGATGAGCAATGGAATAAAATCAGATGACAAACAAAACTAATTCTAAACATGAAGGAAAAAGAATGTTTGTACAGTGTTACCTGCAAGCAAGAATTTGGAAATAACCTAAATGGCTATCAGTGTGAGGCAGCTAAATACGTACAGAATAACAACGCATTTATTATTATACATTTATGTTATATAGTGCTTAGGAGGAGTGAACTGGAACTAAAGACATACATCTATGTGTGAAGAAAAACTTAACGCTCTTGGGTGTGAATGCACATAGTCAGAGAATAAAAACAAAAAAGGGCACAATTAACAACAAAGTCAACATGGTAACTTGAGATTTGTAGAGAAAAGCGGGAAGGGAAATCAAGAGGAACCAAGAAGGAACCTTCATTTCTATCTCAATTATTAAAAATAAAAAATACTGCAAATGACTAGGATGAGGCCAAGCTAGATGACAGTGGGCCTGTGTCCATTCCCCTGAATGTGTATCCTTGACCTGTTGTGGGGGAAGGATGTCCTGAAGGAACTCTCCAGCCCCTGCTCCAGCTTTCTGGACTCCGCCCCTACTCCAGTGACAGGAAACGACAACTCCCAGCAGCACCAGAGGGAACTTCGAGGACCCAGGGGCGTAGCTGGCAGGCATGCTGGGCCACTTCCAACAGCGCCCGCTCTCCCTGGCACAGGCTCTCGGGCTCTGGGGATGTGACTGGGGCTATCAGTTCGTTAGCAGAGCTCCAAGTCAGCCCAGCCAGTAAGACATCCCAGTGACTTTGCATCTATCCCGCTCTCTTTCCCTGGTTGTTCCTTTTCCCCTTTTGTAAATAAGCCCATTATTGACCCTCTGTGTGCGCCTGCAGGACAACTAAATTTTAGGCCCGCGGGTGAGGACCCACGGAGAGGCGGAGAGGCGGCCCAGCTCACACTGGGTGCCCTGTAACTATTTCAGAATACAAAAAGGCACACTATTGAAGAAGGAGTAGAGTCGGGCCGCACATGTTAGGACCCCTGATAATGCGCTCTCAATGCCTGGAGGCCTTGAGAACCGCTTAGACGGTCTGATCTGAAAAGCAGCTCATGCCAGGGCCTGGAGAGGCAGCACAGGGCAGAAAGGAAGAACTGGTCAAGCCACTTCAGTCCTGAATACACTTGCATCACAAAGCTGTGTCAAGCCCATGAAGTCCTCGTCAACGCTATCTAGTATGAAAGAGCAGCTGATTATTTTCTGATTTTTCATAAATGCCATGACTTCTGAAACCAACACAAAACCCCCAAACCAAAGTCTTTTAGGGGCCTAAAACCACCGACACGTATGTTTCCCCAATTGAAAAAGCTCCCCCCGCAGGATTTCCCTTTCCATCCGTGCGTCCAGTTCCCCGCGCCGGCGCACCTGCTGCACTCCATGTCCTCGGGCCAGGGCACCCCGAACATCTCCATGAGCTTGGCGCACTCGCTGTGCGCGCGCTGGCACAGGCGGCGGCAGGGCAGCGTCACGCGGCCGTACTCCATGCAGATGGGCGCGTAGAGCGCGCACAGGAACGGCCTGAAGTCGCGCGAGCAGTCCAGGTTGACCATGGGGTGGAAAGGCTGCGGAGAGGCAGAAGGCACGTCAGACAGGCTCCGGCGCTTCCCGCGAGCTGCACGGTCGGAACTGCTGCCGGATGGGCACCCCCCACAGCCCGCCAGC